GGCTTTGTTGAGCTAAGCTCTCGCCAGATTGTGTTTTCTTTCTTCCCATTCCAGTGACTCTGCTCTCTCTTGTTCTTCGGTTTATTAAGCCAAGTGCTGTGATAGTACAATGATCTCCTTTGGTAAGCCAGCTACCACACAGAGATGGATTCAGGAGTAGACTGTGTGGGCCTCGACAGTATCGATTACATGTATAACAGACATTTAGTCCGTTTGCTCCCAACATCTTTATGATCTGATGAAGCTTGCTCAAAAATACCAGCACATATGTTTCTACATGAAACAAAACTTTTTCTGTAAAGGGGTGTTTTTATCAAACTGAATTTGACATTTTTTTTCTTTTTTCAATTATTTGGGTGTGAAGCTAAAACAGAATTCTGTATTTTTAAGTAATCTTTGCTTTTACGTCACACCTGCTTTTATTTCACACACACACACACACATTCTTGAATCCAATAAAAGCGACAGACTGCTGAGTCTGGGACTGCAGTGCCTGCTCAGGTCTGCGGCTGCTGATCATCTCTGGTGGGACTCTTAGTTGCTGACCTACATCTGCTGACAGTTCCAAATCCTCACTGTGAGCCGTCCAAACTCATGCCTACTCAAGTGATGACTCTCTCCTGACTTGTTAACTGCCACATATAAAGTAAATTTTATTTCTAGTGTTCTTTTGCCAAGGGATCGGGAATCCATTCCTGCCCATTGCTCCGAGCTGCTGCTGCTGCCTGACTTTCAGCACCTCATCATGCTCGTACACCGTCTGTGGAGAACAAAAGAACCGTGGACTGAATCTGTCGTCCTGTTTGTGATCACAGGAGATACATGACCTCGCTTCGGCTGGATGTTTGGGATAATAAATGATTGCTTCTTCCATATTTTAGTCTGGGTTAGGTCTTACTTTTGAGGCTGCTTTTTGTGGAGAAGAAATGTGCAAGCAGGCAACATTTTTGTTTTCTTTGGTCTTGACAGCATTATAATCTGAGCAGTTTTCTACCATCATTAGGAGCTACAACGCCACGCATTCTGTAGCTTTAATCTGATGAAAACTTTGCTAAATTGCTCTTTAAAATACTGTAAATCCAATAAAAATAATAAGGTAAATGTTAAGTTTATCATTAAAACCAAGCCTACACTGAAGCTCATCCCCACAGGCGTGTGAATGTGTGTGTGAACCCTAAGACCTGGGGCACACAGAAGACAGATGCGCCGCGTCACGCCCGCGCCGTCATTTTAAAAAGAAGTCATTATAGTTACTGAGAGTGGCTACACGGGGTGCGCAACGCCAGAAGCACCAGTCTATTTCACAGTTCTTTTTCAAGCACTGTGGCGCACGGCCGTTTACAACGTTGTGGAGTACTTCAACAGACACTACGCGGGACTATGCGGAACAGCTTTACGGCACAAACCCAACCACAGTATTGATATCTTTAAAGTACTATTGATCTTAAAATATTTAAATAAATAGTGATCTTATCCATTTTTAATGAATTAGTCTGACAAAACACGACAGTAAGTCTGATCACGTAAAAACAAAACAGTTACTATCTGCTTTTTGTTCTCAATTTCCTTGTGATGTTGTGACTATCACGCAACTTTCCAAGAAGCGCTCAGCTGCGCGGCGCCTCCTGTGTGACCATTAGACTTTCCAAAACTGCGGCTCTTCGGCAGCATAGCACATCTGTCGTCTGTGTACCCCAGGCTTAAGAAGGCGGTGTACATACAGGCGATTTACCATGTTAAAGCTGCTGTAGCAAATTTGGAAAACAAATTATTTTAACACCCTTTTTCTGCCTCTTAACTCATTCACTGTCAACCATTTCCAGATCAGAAAAGCCCTTCACAGCCAGCGTTTTTCTGCGTTTTTACAGTTTTTTTTAAGTCACAGAATGTTGCGTGCTAGGATCATGTCAACCCCAAAACCACCAAACCAAAGAGTAGACTCACCTCTTACATCAGGAAGAATCTGCGCGTTTCGGTCGTTATTTGTTCTTTGATAATCCGTGGTCAAATTGTGATTGGCAGAAGCTTTTCCAGTTCGCGCCTCACTTTTTTTCAGCAGCGGCCCAAAACAATCTCCTAACACCTGGATTTTCTGCTTCCTGATCACGTGGCATGTGATGTACGCGGATGAAGATTGACTTTAGAGCTGGGATGTTTGTTCTCATGGTGCGGGGGCTCGATCCGACCCCCACGCAGTAAAAAAATGCAAATGACGACTTTAGTCGTCAATGGCAGTGAACGGTTGGATTTAAAATGACGACTTTAGTAGTCATTGGCAGTTAATGAGTTAACAACGTTCTAACATGGTATAGCCATAAATATATAGAGAGATACAAAAAGTGAAAAAAAGTCAAAGTGGTTCTCTCACATTTGTCTAAACCGCCGCCAACAACACGTCTCGCAAAAGCAACCATTGGACCATCACGTTGTCGCTCTCACTACACTGCTTCACTTCCTCACTTCCCTGGGTCCTCTATTCATTACACACTCGTTTAGCAATAGAACACCACTGGTGTGAGAGGTTATCTGCTCAATAATATCTGAGAAGGAGAAACAGTCAGCTGCTACCACTTCAACTTTAGGACAAACTACCAGAGTCCCAAAAAGAAAAAACACCGTTTGAAGTCAAAGACAACAAAAGACGTTTGGACTTGTAAAACAGCAACTGGTGTTTAGCACTCTCTTGTTTCCTCTGACACACGGGTTTCCATTTCTAGCAGAAAGAAGGGAAAATACCCAAGGGGAGGGGAGAGTGTTTGCATTCAAGACCTAGCTTGTGCTGTAAATTGGCTATAGTCGCTTTAACTGCATACTTGTTTTATTTTAACTTGAAAGGACACTAGACAGTTTGGGCTTGCTTAAATGGCCACTAGCGTCCAAACAAACTGTCCTCTGCTCCCCCTCGCTGTGCGATTGTGTTTCTGAACCTAATAACCACACATTAAAGGGTTACTTACAAGAAAAATAGCATGACCGCAAAACACTTTCCCGATGTTGGCTCGTTTGACCCCTTATTTCGTTGCACGTTCTTTTTCTCTTTTTAGCTTGATCAGATAAAGGTTATTTTGGTCTGGTTTCATCTGTTAAAGTATAAACACAGATTAGCATGAAGTGTTACAGGGATGTTCGAGTTGCAAATGCGGTAGTATACACACAAGAAGTGGAGGGGCCTGAGAGATTTTTCATTCACACTGTAAAGGGTCATCTTAGCAACATTTGGCTCAAGAAATGGATTTAAAATATAGCCAAGTTACTTAGTTTACCTTTAAGGCCAAGAATTATGATCTCCATTGACCCTTCCTAATGATGTAATTATATGTTGTGTTGTCACATGAGTTGTAGTTTTTACCTGAGAAGCTGCACCAAGCAGACCCTTAGAGCAGCTTTTTAGAATAGAATAGAATAGAATAGAATAGAATAATCCTTTAATAGTCCCACAAGGGGAAATTTGGTTGTGTCAGCAGCAACATCACACATATACAAACAATGCAGGACACAGAACAGAAGCACAGTTATTACCTATTTACATCATGGACAATAGTTACCAGAGCAGAGTACAATACAGTTGTTTATATAGGCGCACACATATTGTGTAAGCATAGCAGGATACTGAAGATGTTAGAGTGCAGATTGTTTATTTTTTACCCATTCATTAAAAAGTAGACATGTAGCCTTCAATAAATTATTGCATGTATAAGCTGAGAAAAAGTAATGTGTAAGTTATAATTGTAGAAGTTATTACAGCACTGTCTTATCAGCACGTCTTATTATTGACATTAATAAACTTGTTTACAGATATATTTATGGGGCTACTTGGAACAGAGTTGTTTTTGCCTTACTCCATAAACACACACCTGTTGGGTGTTTTTTTTTTATCGCCTTTATGGAGCCACCCACCCCCAATAATGAACATAGAAGCTGTACATGCTTCTGAGTTAATCTGGGAAAATCGGTTTCAGCAAAACATATTTTGTTTTCCAATTACCTGCCAACAGAATTCTGCTCCAGCAACCATGACCAATTTACAGACTCCGTACTCGAGTAATATATTTCCACAGCAAACGGCCTATTATCTTTTGTGTTGCTAATTCCAGATATTGTAGATGGTTGTGTATTTGTTGTAAAACTCTCTCATCGAGGTCTCGCGATTGAAAACATACCAAAACGGGTTAGACCTTAGATGATAGACACTGTGCACATCGAACTTTCTCTTTGTTGGTTTCTGATACTTAGAAGCTGAGCTGAAAAGGAAAATTTCCATTTTATTTACACCGGAGGGCTGTAAGTTAATGAAAGCTGGTGTGATGAACATGTAGCAGCTGGTGTCAACAACACAAATAAAATTACTAAAATTTGCAGCACTGGTAAGTATCTCAGCTAAATGCAAAGGACCCCTACATGAGCAATTTGCGGTGGAAGCAGTTTTCCTGGGCTGCTAGGTCTTATAATTGACATTAATAAACTTGTTTACAGATATATTTTATGGGGCTACTTGGAACAGAGTTGTCTCTCTGCAGCGGCCGTGCATCAACAAAATCTAACGTGTGTAATCCATAAAAATGTCTTTTCTTTGAATGACACAAAATATAGATGATATCACAATGTAGGAATAGTAGAAAACATTGTTTTTATGAGAACATTGATGAAGTCTTTGCTCACGTTGTCACATGATTTTTCTCAGATTGAATGACCCTTAAAAGGTACAAAAGGTTTCACTCCCACCCAAACCCATTAGGGTCTCTGTCTTCACGTTACTTTAGGCATAAAAGCTTACCATGAACTGTTGAACCGCTGCAGCACATTTATGTTTTCAACAACAAGAAATAAAGAAACAGCTAAATAATTATGCCTAAGTACTTCATACACCACTTTCACTGTGTCATATTTGAACTATAAAGTAAGTGGGGTTTTTTTCTTAACTTTTTCCATGATTTGCTATGGAACTGTGGTATAAGTGCCTCACTTGATGACATTATTTCACGATTTGTCTTTGTGCCCAGAATAACCACTACTGCTGCCTGCATGATGGACTTGAGGAGGTACCCTCTGGATGAACAGAACTGCACTCTGGAAATTGAAAGCTGTAAGTTTTGCTAAAACAAAAAAGATCTTAAGAGTGATTTGAACTTCTGGGGAATTCAAAAGGTCATAGGCCCTTTTGAATCCAGCACGACTGGTCAGTAAGATACCCTCTGGTACTTCTGCTGGAAGCTGATGGAGTAGTTTTGCGTCTGATGGAATTGTCGCAGATTAAAGCGAATAATGGTTGTTTGGTTTTGAAAAAGGGTGGTTCTATGCCGCTAAAAAGCATTCGACTGGGTCTCACAAGAGGTGTCCGTTTACCATTTTGGCTGGAATTCCCAGAGAGAGAGCGTGTGTCTATCTTTTAAAGTCCATGATGGACCAATCAGAGTCCAGACAGTTGACCTTTAGCACACTTATGACCTGTAGGCATGCAATGCCTTTCTTACGCTACATTTACTATACCTTAAAGGTGCAACTCGCATGCTGAAATACAACAGAAGGTATAAATAAGACAACATTACATTTGCTCCATTATAGGGACGTTAAAATACTTTTGCTCATTTTTTAAACTCTTGCTGTAAAGAACTATTGTTGAAAAGATTTGAAAACATTTCCAATTCCAACAACTAGCAATGCAATGCAAATTCTAAACTCGCATGTGAAACTTTGTCTTGGATGAATATGAGTCCACCTTTTTCGCAAGTTTTCCAAAGCTGCAATCATAGAATCAAAACCTTCCTTCAAAGAGTCAAATTTGCTCTCTCTAGTTTTTAGTTCCACAAAGGTGGTTAATGTTCAACGTGCACATTTCAAGAAATCAATCGGATAAATCCTTATCCATGTGAAAAATGTGCTTATTGTGTAATTAAAAATTGCGTCTACTTGATTATTTTCACAGATCGCACCATCAATCACACTGACCTGTTCAATACATCAGATGATTCGTGGTACTTGATCAAGATAAAACTGCAGAGTGTTACCCTCAGGCACTGGAGTAAGCAATGAAATATGGACAGGCCATGAATTAGAAAGCTGCAAGAAAATCTGCTGTTTATGCTCATGGAATGCTATGCACTAGTGACTTGTGAGCATTAACCATCAGGTTGATGGATTATGCAGGCAGTTGCTTCAATTTCATGGACAATGTCACATTTTCTTACCCTACAACTTCGCAGGGAGAATTAATGGTAATGAATCTCGGTCCCTTAGTAAGTTTAATGCCATCCAGGTCTGCATGTAGGATACCAGAATGTGAAATGTGGTAGCACTTCCTGGACTGAAAGATAGCTCTGCAGTGGAGCCATGCTAGCCTAAACACATAAATCTGCCCCTGTGGTCACTTTTAAATTGCACTGCCAGCTGAGAATGTGTGGCGGCGTCCTGGCACATGACACATGTTGATGAATATTCATGCTGGTTGTGGTGCACGCAGTGAAATGGTTTCATGGGATTCTGGAGAGGCAGCAAAGAGGAGGCTTTTTAGTCTAAGGGGGGAAAGGTTTAGAAATGTTTTCTCCTCTAATTTTTACGAGTAGGACGACCCTTCAACTGTTAAAAAAATAAGTAAACAAACAGCAAACAAACGGTTATGCTTAGAATAAAAAAAATTGTGTTCATCTGCTCATAAAAATGTCACAGGTTCTGTTTTTTCAGTATTAGAAACAATAAAAAATACAAAAAAATAAAAATAAAAAATAAAACACTGATACTAACTTTAAGGAATGCTACCAATACCAATTTTTGATTGGTTCTTTTCTATACCATTTCTGACTTTTCTTCAGGAGCTCAAATTAACTAAATACATTTTTTTTATTCTTAAGTTAAAGTTCTGGCTTGGAAATAAAAACTTGTCTATGTTTGTAAGTTTCAGACACTTTTATCCAAAGTGACTCAAAAATGAAAAGCTTCTACAAGGAAGATCTTTTATAGCTATAGGAATAAACCAATATATAGGGCCGATTATCCTTCCCATCTAGATTACGGTGACATCATTTATAGGACTGCTTCCAAAAAACATCTTCATAAACTTGATGTCATTTATCATTCAGCAGTCCGTTTCGTCACTGGTGCCCCCTTTCACTACTCATCATTGTGATCTGTACCCACTCATTAAATGGCCATCTCTCCATTCCTGCAGATTGTTACATTTGCATCAGTTCATATACAAAACAATCATCGGTAGAATCCTGTCATATCTTCACTCATTACTCATCACTTCCAACAACCAGTACAATTTGTGTTCCAGTTACTTAATCTCTGTGGTTAATGTCAACACTCACACCTCCTTTGGCTACTCCTCATTCCATTTTTCTGCTTTCAAATACTGGAATGAGCTGCAAAAAACCACTGAAGCTCACTACTGTACCTACATTCCATTATCTACCTTCAATAATTCATTGCAATCAATAGTTTCTGATGAATGTGCTTCTGAGTACTTAAAGACTGTTTTAAGTCTGTTTTGATTGCTTGTACATATTGTAATGGAGAACAGTGTTTTGTCTTTATGTCTAATTGTTTTATCTTATTTTTGTCTTGCATTATTTTTTATCTTACCAGTTTTTCTTTGATGTAAAGCTAACCACGAGTCTGTTGCTGCTGCCTCTTGGCCAGATCGTCGTTGTAAATGACAATGAGTTCTCAATCGACTCATCTGGATAAATATAGGAAGCAATTTTTTTAATACATCTGTATCGGCCAATATTTGTCTCTGGTAAATCTGATTTAAAGTCAAGTACATCCTCGGGCAGCCTGGCACTGTTGGAGAATTTATTTTAAATTTAAATCTTACATTCACCAATAGCGTATGCATAAATAAAAAATCTAAATTAAATTTATTCACACAAAGAAGTGCACAAAGTTAAGATGGAACAGTTAGTTTCAGTCAAAAAGAAATTGTGAGCATCAACTGATGGTACTGGTGACATTTTAGCTTGAAAAAAACAAGTGGAAATATCTAGTTGTTGGCCCATAATAATTGGTATTACATATAGGCCATCGGCTTATCATATATCCTGGATATCGGCATCGGCAATAGAAAAACCAACATCAGTCGACCTCTAAATGCTAGCATGAATTAGTGCTTAGCAATGGTGCGTACAGACTGGAAAACAATGTAAGATTTTTTAATTGCTGCTCAACAATACAAAGTAAATAAAGTTAATTTCAAAAAGTGACTCTATACCACTGATCTTTTACTCGCACTCAGGTACATTTAGATTATTTGAAAATTATGTGAAAAGAATTTTCAAGCACTAATTTACAGTTTAGGAAAAATATATATTTATTAATGTCAGACTACTGTCTACAATAACAACAAGAAGGTCAAAGTTGACAAAAACAGAATGTTTAATGACATTATTATCATTTAGATGTTTGACCAAAACAGTTGAAGGGATTGTTTTCCACCGCGTCGTTATCCAAACATTACAGTTTATTAGTGTGCTCCATTTTGGTATCTTTTATTAACAAATATAACATACAACCAGTAACGTGAAAGCCATTTTGTTGTTTCATAAGGAAGTTATGAAATATTTACACCTTGCCTGTATCTCAATACTCTTTAAACAACTTCAGTTTTAAAAAAATTAGATTATTTCTCACCGGATTAAAAGTTAACCACTAGTTACAGGTGGGCAGTTCCAAAGACAATTTCTGCCATTTTAAAACAATGTATTGTGACTGAATTTCTAATGGTTATTTGTGCGGCTTTAAAAAGGTATAAATTACTGTCAGTCTTGCATTTCAAATTTGAAATGGCACCAGTAAATGATGAGCTTAGCTAGCTGTGCAGCTACATTGCTGCAAAACACAGCATGTAATGTATGCAATGATGAATTTGCAGCAGTGCAATCGTTCATTTAGTTTCAAAATGATTAGTTTTAATTTAAGTGTAACCCTTTTGGCCCTTTGTATTTTCATGCTAGCACTTATATCATTACCTTTAAACTAAGAGCTATCTACAAAAGGTTCCAGAGAAATCACCAGAGGTGTGGACTCGAGTCACTTGACTTGGACTTGAGGCAGACTCGAGTCATTATTTCAATGACTTCTGACTTGACTTGATAAAATCTATAGAGACTTATGACTTGAACGCCAATGACTGCAGTTTGAATCGACTTGCATCTATTGACTTGATGATGACTTGAGCTTATTTGATATTTTAGCACAAAAGTGGCCCGACATGGACAAAAATCATGAATCATTCTTGGTTCTGGGTTTGATCTTGTTCTGCTAAATGCAGCAACGCTTTGTTTATAATCAGTGTCAGTTGCACTTTCTGCTTGTTTGAGCAAATAAATGAAGCTTTAAGAAGCTTTATTTCTGAAATTTATTTATTATCATTGTCACTAAATAGAAGTTGGACAGACGACTTGATTATGACTTGAAAATTCAAAGTTAAGGACTTGGACTTGACTTGGATTTCCACATCATTGACTTTGGACTCGACTTGGACTTGTTATCTTTGACTTGAGCTTGACTCGAGACTTGACTGGAAAGACTTGTGACTCACTTGTGACTTGCAAAGCAGTGACTTGGTCACACCTCTGGAAATCACCTTTAACTGATGTGAACCATCCCTTTAAAGAGTAACATTTGTCATACACCCTTCCTCTCAACTCTAAATAGATTTGTGTTGTTACATAATACCAATAATGTGGTCTCATTTGCTTTGACTTTCTCTCAGATGGTTACACCACAGATGACATTGTGTTCTTCTGGCAAGGAGGAGACAGCGCTGTGACCGGCGTTGACAAGCTAGAGTTACCCCAGTTCTCTATTGTGGAGCTGCGCTTGGTGTCCAGAGAGGTCATGTTTACTACGGGTAAGACAGCTCTGGACCTAAGTCGACTCAGAGTCTGCTTCTACTGCGTCACATTCCAAAAACATCTGTACTTCCTTAAGTGAGGTCATTGTTGTCACTGTGGAGGATTCAATTCTCTTTAGTCTTGCAGATAATCAATGGCCTTTGCAGAAAAAAAGTGAAACTGAAGGAGAAATTGTGCAAGCTTTTTATTAGTGTTTGCTCTTTGTTTTATTAGGAATAAATATTGACAATAAAAAACTAAAACCATTATTATCAGCACTCCACATCATAAAGCTGCTTCAAACTGTATTGGAAGCAAAGCATTGTGGTTTTATAAGCTGAACATATTATTACCTTATTGATTAAAGAACTTAAAAGTCTATAGTGTTAATTGGCACCTACAGATGGGACTGAGTTGACAATGAGTCACCGTGTGTTATTTGTGTTTAAAGGCACGAGCAGCAATTATCCCCCTGAAAATGCCCTTTTGCTAATGCTTAGAGGACAGAGAGAGTGCAAAAGAAAAGCCGAGTGGCTCACTGTGACAATTCTCAGAGGGATGCTGGAGCTGCCTGCTGAGATAGGGGGTTGCAGAAAAATGTGCCGTGTTTGCGACTTTCTGCCATGTTTAATTGGAATCGAACGTGTCCCTGGAAAGGAATCTATCGCTTTGGGGAAATTAAGTGCTCCATCTGAACAAATGGAGAAATGACTACTCTGTGCGTTGTCAAAGTGCAGACTGTGGAGCTCACGAGTCATACCGACATTTCCCCCTCCTCTGTCCCTTTTTCTGTAATTCGTTTTCACTTTTGGCCTTGAGTTTTCTAAACCGTCACTCCATCTTATCTCTGCACAGGTTCCTATCCAAGGCTCTCGCTGAGTTTCAGGATTAAGAGAAACATTGGATATTTCATCTTGCAGACGTATATGCCCTCCATCTTGATCACCATCCTCTCCTGGGTCTCCTTTTGGATCAATTATGACGCCTCGGCAGCTCGCGTGGCCCTGGGTAACACGCAGCCACTGCTACATTATTAAACTTTAAACGGTCCCCAAAAGAATTCAGTCATTAGAACAGAAATGACCATTTCACTTGTTATGTGCTTCTGCAGAAGTTGCCCATGTTTAACGGCACAAAGGAAAGCAAATACAAACCTGCAGTAGTTATCAGTGGAACCTATTGTGCTGGATGAGATTTCTAGAATTGACTTGAAAAAATGTGTAAAAAGAGCAATCACTACTGATATTTTACCAAATGATTTAAAATTATAAATTATATATATATATATATATATATATATATAGATAGATAGATAGATAGATAGATAGATAGATAGACAGACAGACAGACAGACAGACAGACAGACAGACAGACAGACAGACAGACAGATAGATAGATAGATAGATAGATAGATAGTAATTAAAAGACGTCTGCCCAGTGAATACAAAAATATAATTTTATGTTAGGGCTGGGTAATACTTCGAAAATTTATCGTTATCCAAATTTCTGACTGATATAATTTTTCCATGTCAATACATTTGCTAATAAGAAAAATGGAGCGGTGTGTAGGTTGGCGACGTTTAATTTTCATCTAAAATTCTTTTCTACTCACATATGTATTTTCAATCCATCATAAAACAAAAATGGACACTTATCACTCATTTGAGGCTTATTACTCACCCTACTATATGGAGAAATAGAATAAAATAGAAGAGACTTTGTTAACCCCTCAGTGGGGAAATTCACTCATTGCAGCAGCTAACTTAGAGGAAAGGAAGAAGACATCTAATAAGATTACAGGTAAACACACACAGGCAGTAAGCTAATATTGTAACTTTCCTCCACTAAAAACAACTAATAAAAATAGAAATTTGGTTTACCAAAAAATATGCAGCATAAGGGGCACAGACATACTAATGTACATCTGGATTCGGACAAGTATTAAACACACACACTGAATATTGCATTGACCTCATTGTGTACCAGGATAATGCCAGTACCAGTTACACTGAGGAGTTATACACTCTTACTGCAGAGGGGATGAATGGCGTACGATAGCGTTCTGTTTTACATCTCCGATGTGTCTATCTGCCACTGGAAGAGCTGTCCATGGCCTCCACAGTAAAATGCAGGGGGTGGGAGGGGTTTTTCATTATGGAGGTCAGCTTCACCAACATATAGAGGTATAGTTTATGTAGCCCAATCCTGAAAATTGTAAGCAATTCCATACATAATCTCGCAATCTAATGCAATCTGTTAAGCACTGAAGACTCGGCATCTATAGCATCAAAAATGTTTGTTCAGTATTTGCACAACTGAGTTAGTCATAGCAACCAGCTTGAATTTACTACAAACTTTGACCATTTTTTAACTCAAAGATGACTTCATGAAAATTGTATTAAAATCATTCAGTGGTTCATGAGATGTTCTGCTACAGTCAAGACTGAGTACATAGGACTCTTATGAAAATTGTATTAAAACCTGTTGATAAAATCAGTAAAAAGTCAATGACAAAGTTGTTTATGCAGGTTCGTTGGGTTTTCTGTGACAAATGTTCAGTGAAATTGAATTGTGAGCAGCAATCCGTGTCTAAGTGAGGTTTCTGTGTGTCTCCTTGTACCTAGGTGTAACAACGGTGCTTACCATGACCACAATTAACACCCACCTTAGGGAGACTCTCCCAAAGATTCCTTATGTGAAAGCCATCGATGTCTACCTCATGGGCTGTTTTGTGTTCGTGTTTCTGGCCCTGCTTGAATATGCCTTTGTAAATTACGTGTTCTTTGGCCGGGGTCCTGCGCAACAGAAGAAAATCAATGAGAGGCTGAACAAAGTCAACAACGAGCGCTCGAGATACGAGGAGAAGCGCCTGAGGGAACAGGTTTGCATCTCCCTCTTCTGCTGCCTTGACTTCCATGTGTCAGTCAGAGTCCAAGTAGACAACACACCAGGTTTCTGACCGTAGTGGTTTTAACTACAAAGGAATAAACACCAGTCCCTGAAGCAATGCTCTACAGGCATACTGATGTCACCACCACAGCCTAATATGCATTCACCCACCATCATCCATTGCTTCTCCCTCAAGCATTGACTTCTTTTTACTGAGCATAGCCTTTTTCATTGAGATACCTGTTCATCTAACTCAACGTAAACCGTAAACATTCTCATTTCTTATTTAGATTGTTGTCTATGTTGATGCTGTAGGCTTTATTCACTCTCACTCAGCTTCTTTATATTTTTAAATGTGTTTTGGGTGCAAAATAAAAAAATAAAATCAGAACACAAGCCAAGGAAGCTACAGGCATATTAATCGTTTCACAATACCCCTGGCTAACATGGCCAGACTGAATGAAGCCCCCTCCCCTCTGTTTTTTGTGTGTGAAGTATTAAATGGTATGCCTACTCAAAAACCTGTTCCTGGTAACTGTCTTTTTGTGAAATTTTTGAGAAGAAAATGTGCTTATCTGCCTGTAATTTAGCCATTTTAATGTTCTTTTCATTTTTCTTTCACATTGCAAGGACTCCATTTCCGTGCCGTTTCAAACCAACACCTTCAGGTCATTTACACAGCGAAGAAATCTGTATCTCGAGGAACAAAGAAAAGTTGGGGTACATGTATTTAGCAATCATATCAGCTGTAGGCCAGCCCTCACTTTAAAGTCAGATGATTTTTACTTGTCACTGTTTTTCCAACTGCAAGAACATTACTAATTGATATATGTTTAAAGCAGCTAACTTTCTGTTGCATGCAAGAAATGACATTTCATATCATCCCTGCATTTTGCTTAAGCTTTAAGGATGGGAGGGGGGTTAATGTGTCAATGTTAAGGGGATTTGGGGCTGCCGCTCAGCATTTTAGCCCCCCCGACTCACCGTGTCGTCTTCTTTTACTCACAGGTGGACGCTTACGGAAACATCCTCCTCACCACGCTGGACATGAACAACGAGGTGATGCCTTCTGACGTCGGGAGCAGCGTCAGTGACTCACGGAATTCCGTCATGTCCTTTGACAGCTCCGGAGTCCAGTTTAGGAAGCCCATGGCACCACGCGATGGCTACAGCCACCACTCGCTGGACCGCAGTGCCATGCGAAACCGGGCCAACTGTCGGCTACGACGACGCTCCTCCAAGCTCAAGTTAAAAATCCCAAACCTGTCAGATGTTAGCACCATTGACAAGTGGTCCAGAGTCATTTTCCCCATCACTTTTGGATTTTTCAACCTAATCTACTGGTTGTACTATGTGAATTGATGTGCATCCCACTAGGAATCATGGGCCATATTTTGAGAGCACATTAAATTGGCTTTGATACAGTTCCAAAATATGTATACACATATACGAGTTGAAAATATGTATATGCATATTTCTATATATTATATTTATATATCCACATCTGAAATCTGGAGGACCTTCCGCTGTACAAAGTATTTCTAGGATGACTTGAATGTTTAAGAATACTTGTGCGAGAAGACTTTCAAGGCTTTGAGTTTCTTTTTCCTGCTGAAACAAACAAACAAACACAAGATCCCACCATGGGGGTTTTGGAACTAAAGACTGCATGATATTTTTGCTAAAAAAAGGAAAGCGAAAAGGAAAAATAAACACTGACAAAAGAGGAAATGAAAGCTCTGGAGAGAGAAAAGATGTCTCAGAGTCCCATTGACTTTTTATTGATACTTCTTGTACTCAAAAATCCTCTTCTGCAGCTCAAGAAAACAGAGGTGGCTTGTCGGTTCAGGCATCGGCTCAGTGAGGTCCTCGGCACCACCATAGACCCCAACCCCCAGCTCCTAGACTTGCTGACATCACCCAGCACCCTTCCTTAACTTGCCCCGCCCCCATCCCCACAACCCACCATCACCCATAGGATAAAATGCACTGAAATCCCCTGTTCTACTATGTACAGCAACCTTGTTTGGGTAATGTGTTGTTCCTTGGGTTTCTTTCAAGTGATATTGTTCTCTTTATCAGACATCAGCTCGGGCCTGATGGTCTACATTAGAGGGCCTTAAGGGTAGGATGTTTGACCACCACATTCTCACAAAGAGTCAACGCAGACCTCTATTCCTTTCTCTCTTTATTTTTAGAAACACATCCCAAGGTGGAGGCGTGGGTGGGCGGGGGTCTTCTTTTTTCATTATTAAAAGAAATGTAGATATGATTTTGTCTTGAAAAATACTGTGATTTCAGAGAGTGTTCTAGTGCTAGGGCATTATGAGATAAACGAATCAAAGGTATGCATTGCTGATTTTGATTGACAAAAAAAAAAGAATAATACATTATTCTGTACATGTTATCATTCAGTAATCTCATGATAGTAACTTGTGCTCTTTCGTTCCTCCTAACGACTGATTCACGTTCTCTTTAGATGCTCACTGACGTCAAATCCTGCTTTTGTGTTCGCCAAAGGGAAACTTTGGGTTGTTTTTGTTCTTCGTTTGAAAATATTCCTCGTTTAAAATGTGAGAATATGGTCCACCCGTAGTTTTGATTAATTTCTTCTGTTTTGGAGTTGTCGTGTCTGAAGGCAAGTTTACCAGGCGGATGATAGGGAGAAAGGGTTCAACACCACCACAATGCTTCTCAAGGTTTAGTGATCCTAATGTAGAAAAAAGTCTGAAAAATGCCATGAATTGAATCAAATGACGTCCAATAGGCCACCTTTTTGTAGATTTGCTCTTAAATTGAAGCACTCACATTGGGTTTGAAGTGCTCAACTTCATTTGTCAAGAAAATAAATTCCTTTTTGAAGAAAATCGTTTCTAGCCATTCAGCTCGTGCTAAATCAGGCTTACTTACCAATGAATTTAAGTTCCACAGTAATCAAACGCATTTAAAGCGGAGGTTTGGTGGTGAAGGCAAATAAATAATGGATATCAGCTAAAGTTCTGGGGAAAAAAATTATTAAAGTTAAAAACAGTAAAATAAAAAAGTCAAACCCTCCTAGCCTCGACCAAGGAATACAGAGGGAATTTGTCCAAATGCACAAAAACAAAGTTAAAAATGTAGGAGCTGCAGAGTATCTAGATGAAGACGGAGAGGCGGAGGTATAAATTTATTTTCAGCGATGTGTGTTCTCCTCCAGAGCACAGAGTATGCATGCATATTTTTTTTCAAAAAGGAATACTGACCAAAAAGTTAATGTATCTCCCTAAGTCATAGTGACGTTTGTACAGTGTTGTGGCCTGAGCTGTGATTTGAGTTCAGTATTTCTTTTTGTTTAAATTTCATGCAGCATTGTCATATTTTCTAGTAGTAGAAGATGAAATATTTTTAACCTTTCAGTCAAAACAGGCATTCGAGAAAAAGACACGTAATACTTTTCTTTATAATTATTATTATACCTGCAGCTGGAAATTTCTTGTCTCAGTTACCTGAGATTAAAATAGAAAATAGCATGTATATGTTGCCTTCTAAGAGCTTTTTTTTTTTGGTGTAGATCGTATAATCAGCAATGCACCTGCAAAATGCATAAAGGCTGAAATAGGGAATTCTAAGTTAGAAGGAAATATTGAGAAAAATGATAAATCTGATTCCAGATTTCAGAGCACTTTACTGCTATCACACCACAATCCAATCACGAGAAAACTCACAAATGTCGTACTTTTATTCCTTTCACTCTTCCTCTCTGTGTAAATCTCCCACCTAGATGCCATTCCACGGGAAAAACTCGACCAAGTGACATCACTCGGGGCACGTAAAGCTTTACAAGGCTTCTTTCACATATGCAGTAGCACTCCCCGACACCCGTGGACCGACTTCGACGTTGCTATTCCCCTTTAACTCATGTTAGATTTCCCTGTGAAACTTATGCTGCAATTCTGACTTCTGGCTGCAGAAGTTTGATTATGTGAGATGCTCAAACGGCATCAGCACTAGATGTGGCTCACTTTTGTTGCCAGTTAGTTGTTGAAACCAGATGAAGAGTAGAATTAGCGTTCCAAAGTGTTTATTACACCAGGATTGGTAGAATATTGATGTGAGATGCGGACATTTTTTTTCTAGTATATTTTTTAAACATAGAATTGGACATAAATTAGTAAAAACATGTAAGAAATTAAATTTGGCACTCTTTTCCATTGTTTTATCCGGTTTTTAGTCAGAAGATGCTTTTTATTTCTACAGTGAAAATTTAAAACATAATCCACCAACCTTGCTGTCTCAGTAAGATGCACTTATAATAAACATTTTGTACAAAACTAAAGTATCAAATTCTTATTCAGGTTGATTTATTCAAAGAAATGAATCCAGACATGCCTATTCAGGTATCGTACTTTTTAAATGGTAGGTATCTTTAATAGACATTTTAAAAAGACATGGAGGAGAATTCTTAGCAGCTCATGTATTCTCACCCTAAATATATTCACCTTTCATTTCAAGTATTATCTGCTTTCTGGACACAAAATCAGCACGTTCATCCCAAAGACTGCGGATCTTCAGTTTGAAGCTCTTTTTTTTCTCCTTTAGGATATTTGTTTATTCAAGGGAGAAAATACATTTCTGTTGACACATATGTTCGAGTAGTAGAGGAGGAAGGGGGAAAAAAAGGTGTTGAACTGATTTCAATGTGAATTTTCTTGCCTCTAGTGTATATGTGTAATTACATGTGAATTGTATTGTAAATATGATATCTTTCACTTAATAGTTCTTAATGCATGAACAAAAAACATGGCAGTTCTTAATACCAGCTAGCCTCACTGCTAAAGGCATGGACAGCTTCTCTTGCATTGGCATACTTCTGCAAACGAAACCTTAAAAAAAGACAAGAAAAAAAATGGAAACACAAGAAATACACGGTGTGAACAAAACGATGGAGATATCAACCCAAAGTTCTTTAACAGTGGAGGAGATCCTGGTAGCTCTGGAGAGAACACGTTAACACTACTAGAGGCACCAGGAAAACGCAATATACTTTGGTGCACTTTGAGCGAATCTGAAATTCTGTGGTTTAGCTCTCCCAATTTATCTGTTTTTCTCTGACTTTGTTAGGGACTTCAGCACAGTTTACTTGCTGCATTTACCTGAGCCGTCAACAAATCGCTCAGCCGACTTCTCAGAAAAAAAAGAGGGCATGATCGGCTAGCTGGCTTACAGCGGAGGAGCAGGGTTGCCTTAAGAGGGCGAGTTGGGAGTTTTTTTGTTTTTTCTTTGTCCTGTTCCTCATTAAGACAGCCACAAGTGCCCTTGAGCAAGGCACTTAGCCAATTGCCCAAGTGTAGCTGCTCAGTTGCGGAAGGTTGTGCTGGATTGTAGCAACCACGTTGAGGGTAAAGTTAACTAACAGTTCTTAGGTGCAAAAATTCCTTTAAACACTAGTGAAATTAAACCATTTGAGTTAATTCAACTAAAAATAGATATTCTAAATCAGTTTGTTTCTGGTTGACAGCCATCTAAAAACCATAAGAGCAAGTTTCACCAACATAAGCACCAGAATAAGGCTGGTTAGCTCCTTGCTGTTGGATGGACTTTCATTGGTGTTTTAATTGTTTTGTTCGCACCTTGTTGGTTTTGTTTAGCATGACCTGAGTTTTAAAAGGTTTATTTTCATATATTTTTACTTCACACCATTCAGTTCATCTCCACAGCCAGTAAAAAAAATAATAAAAAAAGAAAGATCCAGTGTTTACATGCTCAAATTGCACTTGTTTTACAGCCAGCTCTAAATCTTGTGAAATAAACTGTTCATACAGCTGGAGGACAGATGTTACCACGGAACGTACATTGTGTGATTCCTGGGAGTCACGATTATGTACTTCTACAAAATGTATTTACTGTAAATCAATTTGAGATAGATGCACCAAGTGCATGCTGTAGATTTATCAGATTCTGCATAACATCAGACGCCCTTCAACCTACAAAGGATGTAGAGGATGCTCACCAGAAGCATCCTAACGTATAAGCCATGTGATTGCACACTGAGTGGGTGTTCCCTGTATTTTGTCTTTGATAAGTTGCCTCTGGTTACGGCCTGCTGCCAATTACTGCATAAGGGCAACTTGCAAGATGCTGTGCCAACTCCCAGTTACACATCAATATACTGTACCTCCCTCTTTGTAAAACCCTACCAGAGACAATGTTTAACCAGTAAGTAAAAAAAAAGAAGAAGGATTTTCCAATACTTTCAATGATTTGACAATGTCGAGAAAGAAGCCCACATGATCAACAGCTCATTTCTTTTTCAGTAAGAGTTAGTAATTAATGATTTGGTTCATTTCTGTGTTCATTTCCGATTTACTGTATTTGTAGCATTTGTTTTTATGGATTGTTAAAGTTGTTTTTTGCCATCTTTATTTATTTTTTCAAAAGAAGGAAATGTAATTCATCTGATATACTGGCATTGGAAGAAAAAATGCATTTGGTTTTTGTACTGTAATTGTTTTGTTCACATTGGGCGCTTATTTGATTCAGTTGTTTAATAAGGTGTTTGATTTCATTCGGAGTACCAGTACTCATGGAATCAACATTTGTGTAGTATGAAGTATTTTTTTTGTCAGTGCAATTTAATGTTATAGTGTCAATCAGCTTTTTTAGGTGTTTGAACAAAATGTGTTTTTTACAAATACAAAGTGTTCAAGTATGTGGTATAAAAAGGGTTATCATTCAAACAACCAACTTTTTACAAATAAAGGCTTATACTGTAAAGAATGCTAATGTCTTTTCATTTGCCCTTTGAGGACTAATACACAGCCATTCCTTTTTTTTAAGTTTGTTTTTCTTTTTTGTTCATTTAGCTTTATATATTAGTCCCCAAAAGGTAAATAGCATAAATCGTTGCTAAACAAATGGATGAAATAAGGTATTCATCAGGGTGTTGTCCAAGCTCTCACCTCTTAGTTGGTGTTTTGATTTCAATAAGGACTGAAACAGTCCAGAAACAAAATTTAAGAAGAATTAAGACTGTGTCATTTTAATTTGATTAGAAAACATTGCGCGTTTATAACCCTTCTTTCACACCCTGTTTCCTGAATAAAGACGCAAAGTAAGTCCTGCTGACAAGTGTTATATTTGCCACTTTTTCAATTTAGGAACCTTATGCCTTTTTCTCCGTTGCTGTCAAACCATTTAATTTACAGTCTGCGGTGCAGAAAGGCCTGTTCTGGCACAGTCTGCATCTTCAAATCACTTGTGTATTAATTTGTTTTGTCGCTGTAGCTGGAACCTTTTGCCTTTTTGTCCTCTGGTTGAGGATGTGTCCTCTGCTTGCACATTTGGAATATTATTTTTGTCTGTCTGATGTTCTCAGAACTACAGTAACTGTTTAGGTGGTGAAGGTGATTTTATCAACCTCTAACTCCACCTGGAGCAGCACATTAACAACAGAGCCCTCGTTAATGATCCCGGGAGACACTTCAAATATGTTCTGCATATGACTCTCAGCTTTGGGAATTACTGTATAATAAGCATATTATATGTATTGATAAACATACATCAGGGCTTTGTTTACAGATGTTTGGGTTCTCTTCCACATTGTTTAGTCCCATTTAAAGGCACACTTGGCAGTTTTGCTTACTTTTAGCACCCCTTAATGTCCGTTATTATTCTCTGTGGTCAAAGCAAAAGTGAAACTTATCTCCTGGCTGTGTGGTTGTCTTTTTCCCACCTTAATCAAACTGTTGAAAAGTCTCCATCATAAGTTTCTAGAGGAGTGATTCATCACTAAATCAAAGAAATCAGCTGTGTTCACCTGCCTCTTTCCCACTAGCATCGGCTCCACATCACCCGGATAGCTTCAGTCGGCCCCAGCCTGGCCCGATTGATTCCACACATCTTTGCAATGCAAGGAATGCAGTCAGAGGCATTTTCAGCTCCTAGGTAATCAGCATGATAAGGAATTGAGCATGCCTTAAGCCCATGTGGGCTGATTCTACCCACCAATCAGAGGCTTGCTCTAATGGAAGGTGTGAATTTGCTGACTGATAAGCCGGCCTATCATTCAGTAGTGGGTGTGTTGGCCCTGGTCAGCCTGGAGCAGACCACCTCAGAAAGAAGTCTAAAAAACAGCCTCGTTGCACCCTGAAAAAATGCAGGCTATGCTAATGTGGACACTATGCTATCCAGACCATGCAGAGCTGATGCTAGTGGGAAGGAAAGGAAACATGCTAGAACCAGACTCCAGCTCCACTCCACTCCACCACTCCCTCCACCGGCAGGTAGCAGCCCAGCAACTCTGAAGTTGCAATTGCGATATTTTGGCCACAGAGGGCGATGGGGCCGAGTGACATTTCATTAACCCCTGTAAAGGGTCATTTTAGCACATACTGGCTCAAAAAAATTATTCAAAAAATGAAAAAATCGCTAAGTAACTCGTTCAAAATACTAACTTCTTTAAAAGATGCCTTTCATAGAAACATAAGCAATGTAATTGAAGGGTGCTTTTGCTGTCTTCTGTAAGGTTATGTTTCTAATGACAATCTCTTAAAGTATTCTTTAGAATCAACGAAGATTACTGTTCTTGCCTTAACCTACACAAAATAATAGAACATGGATGGATTGTGGCAAATTTAGAACCTTCAGTGTAAAGGCAAACATGACAAATGTCTTGCTAGTTTTCTTATCTCTGCAGTGCTCTCCTGTGGCCTTAACAAACTCCACATATCAGCAGCAGGTTCCCATGATGATCCTGTTCCAGTATAACAATGCTGACAACATGATGGGGTGCATGATGCCAGCATAGCGAGTCCACCAAGCTATGCTGGTGTGTGAGCCCCAGCTCTACCACACCGCACCCAGAGCATCCATGTGCTGCGGCCATGACAATAAACCATCACAAGCTCACTATGAAAAATGTATGCATGCTGACAACTCTCACTGTCTCTGATGAGTAAAGGGAAACCCACTGCATTTGTAATACCTGCCTGAAGACCTTGCCAAGACTCATCAACATTCTGGCTGATTTTATCGTTATGGCGATGCTTTCATCCTGTGTGAAGGGGGCCTTAAACTTGTGCTTTCCCTACGGTCTCTTCTACAGGGTAGATTAAGCAAAAGGGTTTGCTGATGTGTATTGCTTCTCCTCAGCTGCTGAAACGTTGCAGTGTAGCAGACAGCTGAGGTTCGTTCATAAACACATTTTAATAGTTAGTTATTGGAAGGGCTTGAGAGACCATATACTGTATTTGATGAAGTCCCTTACGAAAAAGAAGTATACTTTAAGTATTTAATTTCAAGTATACTTAAGTGTACAGAAGTTTATTTGCATACTTGTTCTTAAAGTTTACTTAGAAGTATACTCCTTGGGACTAAATTGGGCCGCTAAAAGTATACTTGAAGTATACTACAAGTATACTTCAAAGTAATAATTTAAGTTTATTTGTAGTGTACTTCTGATATAATTGAGTATACTTTTCTCTTTGAAAGTATACTTAAAGTAACCTCACAAGTGTACTTGGAGTGTACTTCAGATAAAATTGAGTATACTTTTCTCCTTGAAAGTATACTTATAAGTTTACTTGTAGTGTACTTCTGATATAAATGAGTATACTTTTCTCCTTGGAAGTATACTTAAAAGTAACAATATAAGTTTACTTGTAGTGTACTCCTGATATAGTTGAGTATACCTTTCTCCTTGAAAGTATACTTATAAGTTTACTTGTAGTGTACTTCTGATATAATTGAGTATACTTTTCTCCTTGGAAGTATACTTAAAAGTAACAATATAAGTTTACTTGTAGTGTACTCCTGATATAGTTGAGTATACTTTTCTCATTGAAAGTATACTTAAAAGTAACAGTATAAGTTTACTTCTAATAAAATTGAGTAAACTTTTGCCCTTGAAAGTATACTTAAAAATAAACTTTAAGTAACATTATAAGTTTACTTGTAGTGTACTTCTGAAATAATTGAGTATACTTTTCTCTTTGAATGTATACTTAAAATTATACTTAAAGTAATAATATAAGTTTACTTGTAGTGTACTTCTGATATAATTGAGTATACTTTTCTCCTTGGAAGTATACTTAAAAGTAACAATATAAGTTTACTTGTAGTGTACTCCTGATATAGTTGAGTATACTTTTCTCCTTGAAAGTATACTTATAAGTTTACTTGTAGTGTACTTCTGATATAATTGAGTATACTTTTCTCCTTGGAAGTATACTTAAAAGTAACAATATAAGTTTACTTGTAGTGTACTCCTGATATAGTTGAGTATACTTTTCTCATTGAAAGTATACTTAAAAGTAACAGTATAAGTTTACTTCTAATAAAATTGAGTAAACTTTTGCCCTTGAAAGTATACTTAAAAATAAACTTTAAGTAACATTATAAGTTTACTTGTAGTGCACTTCTGAAATAATTGAGTATACTTTTCTCTTTGAAAGTATACTTAAAATTATACTTAAAGTAATAATGTATGTTTACTTGTAGTGTACTTCTTATATAATTGAGTATACTTACAGTTTTGAAAGTACACTTTACAGTAAACTTGATGTAATATTCTTTTAGTACATTTAAGTATCTCTATTTTTTCTATAAACACATACTGCAAGTAACATTTAACATCTGCTATTTGCTTACTACCAATACATTTAATTTCCACTATTTACTGATACTTCGTCTTTATGCAGAGAAAAAAAAAATTAAATAAAATAGCTAAGTCATTTTGTTTAAATTTATTAAACAGAGAGAATTAGAACAGAACAAAAACAGACCTGTTTACCAGGATTAATCAAAGATGAGAACGCAAACTGTTCTGAACATGTTTAACGCGTTAATTCTGTCCATTTTGAAAGACTTTTTAAAAATGCCTTTAAAAAAATCAGTCCATTTTATGGATCCACTTGCTTGGTTGTTGATGCCTTTTTGAAGTTTTCATTGTTGCATTTCTTTCGTGTTATTTTTCTTACATCTTGAACGCGCAGAGATGGAAACTTCAACTGAGCATGCCCTGTGAACACACAAAGCAAAAAAATGAACACTTGAACTGTTAGGTGAACTCTGACACCACAAAATCTTTACAGTTCGTACACTGTAAACCCGAATAAGTAGGCAGAACTCAAAAAATGTAAGGCAATCAGTTGCCTCATATTTTCTGAGTTTATAAACTCAGATATTTGAGTATATCAGACCATAAATAAACTTAAATATTTGGAGTTTATATTAAATATATTTTCAAATTATGATCAAATTAAAGTTACTGATTAAGCCAACTCAAACAGAAAATAAAACAAAATTTGAAAGAAACAATTACAAACGCACACTTTTGAAAACTGGACAACAGCAGTGTGTAGTCTTTTTTTGAGTAGGTGGTTTAAAGCAACATCAGGATGCACATCGATTCAACATTAACAAAATATGAATTACACTAACCACTATCAAGTAAGTCAGTGAGTACTTTATGCCATTTGGCATAAAACCAGTTGAGTACTGAATCGGATTAGCCTATGGGCTAATCCGATTCAATTATTCACGCAAAACTAAAGCCACAAATGGAGTTGCCAGACTCAGAACGGCTGGACGAACAGAGAAAAGGTAAAACTCAACTGTTCCTCCCACTGTCTTTATGGGTGACCCCGAGAGGAAAGTTGACCATTGAGCAGGGTTGATGGTTTATCCCTTGAGGTCCACGTGACGGGGTGAGGAGTGAGCACCACCTCACCCCTGCCACGTGGACCTCAAGGGATAAACCATCAACCCTGCTCAATGGTCAACTTTCCTCGCGGGGGTCACACCCATTAGGACAGTGGGGGGGTTAACTCAAGGAGAAGTGGAAAATGAACATATTTGCCCAAATGGTGGTGTGTTACTTTAACATCAACAATTAAAGAGCAAGTCAACCCCTACCAGAGTCTAACTCCACTCCCGCTTCATGTTTGAAAAATGCAACACATGCTGTTGCCTGGCAGACCGAGAGGGCGGAGCCGCTAACAAATACACACACACTCAGGCTCACGACAGCATTGTGACATCATAATGTACCAGTTTACATCATAGCATACTTCTTAGCCAATAGCGGTGGCAGATTTAAATTAAAATACAGTGCAGAGTTTTTACCT